TTGGAAAATTTTCAGTTAATATATTATGAAAGATTGTTTCTATTCACTTACCTGTCTCTTTACCTTCTGGAATATCTGTTATGCAGCTATTTCACTGTTTAAATGTGCACAGGATTTCCCATATATTGTCCTCATTTTTAATCTTCTGTTCATTTCAGTTGCTTGGACTAAGTCAGAGGTTTTGTCTTCAAGATCAGAGATTCTTTTTCTGCTTGTTCTAATCTGCTGTTGATACTTTCAGAGGAAGTTTTGATTTCCTACAACATATTCTTTATCTCCAGAAGTTCTGTTTGATTCTTTTTCATTGTGTCTATTTCCTTATGGAGTTCCTCCATCGTGTCATGAAAGGATTTTTCTCATCTCTCCAGCCATTGATTCTTTGTTTGTTTTTTTTCTTGCATATTGTTGAGTATTGTTACAATTAATATTCTGAATTATTTTTCTGACATTTCCGTGATCTCTTGCATTTTATCCATAGTTGGTGAGGAGTGATGATCTTCTGAATAGGAAGATATTTCCTGATTTTTTCCTATTTCTTTGGGCTGTACTTGATTTTTAGGGATCTGGTGGTGCACTCATTTCTTCCTACTTCTTTAAAGAATGTTTATGTAGCTGTGTGCTCCTGCACTTCTCTATGATATGTGTAAGATCTGTGCCAATTTCCCACCTCTACTGTGGGTGGGAGTGTGGAATCCACAGTAGGAGCTTAGTGTTTAAGCATTCAGAAGGAAATTTCTTTCCTTTTACTGTCAAGGAAATTATGGAGAAAGAATTCCTCCAGAGACTCCCATTATCAGGGGTTTGATTCTTGTATACCCAAACCTATCTGCTCCAAATGTGAGTGGAGGCTGCAATGACAGATAGAAAGTAAGGTGGTCGACCAATTTGTATAATATGCAAGTGCTCCACATGTACTGCAAGGCCCTTCCTCTCTCATAGCAGGCTGGGGGTGGGGTAGGTCCTTGCTGATGATCTCAAGCTGAGCAGCTTGGCTTGGGCCTGCCTGTTAGCCCTTTTGTCTCTGGGATTGCAAGGTATATATGTTATATCTTTCTTTCTCTTCTGTCTCTGGGATTGCAGGGTTTCCCTGTTCCTCCTTCTTACACTGGGATTGTGGGAACCAACTATTAGTTTTTGAAGGCTGAAGAGCCTGCATAGATGAATTTCATCTTTTTGGAAGACTTTCAGGTACTGTGGGAAAGTGAAGACTTTTTAGTAATGTGGAGAAGGTGCTATAGTTTGAATATATTCCCCAAATTAATGTGCTGCTAATTTAATCCCCAATGCAATAGTGTTGGGTGTGGGGCCTAATGAGAGGTGATTGGGCTATGGATAGATTAATGTCATTATTACAAGAGTGGGGTCATTATAAAATCAAGTTCAGTTCCTTGACCTCTCATGTTCTTTTGCCCTTCCACCTTCTGTCATAGGATGACTCAGCAAAAAGGCCCTTATCAGATTATAAGACCTTGATATTGGACTTGTCCAGAACTGTAAGAAATACGTTTTCTTGGGACCAGCAGTTAGTGTAATGGCTATATCACTGGAGTCCCATATAATCGACCGCGGTTCGCATCTCGGCCCCGATGGCTTAAAACTCACGCCAGGCACATGTGCGTGAGTGC